TATATTTGGAAATGGAGAGATGTCCCTCTATCGTTAAATCTTAGAATGGTCAGCTAGAAATAGGTATCATTTCTTCCCCATGCTGACAGGGGCTATGCTCAGTCTGGAAGGCAGGCTAACAAGTGAGATGCACAGATAAGTGACACATAGTTTTCTGGTCAAGGAAATTCACATCCACCACGGAAAACAAACAAGGGACTAAAACAGACAACACACACAAAAACAGAAGTACGTTTTTCCACTGGTCATTCATCTTTGTCCTGGCATGTGACGGCTGGCCAGGGAAACTCCCTCCTGGAATGGAGTGAAAGAGCAAATATGTGATTCAACAGTGGGAAAAAGCCTCGAAAGGAAAGGAGGGCAGGTAACCCAGGAATGAGAAAGGGAGAGTACAGTCCGAGCTGCTGTGACTAAAACGCAGACAGACTGAGAGGTAGAAGACAAAATGCAGGAGGAGAAAACTCCTAAGATAAAATCCAAATTCTTATTAGGCTAATCAGCATTCTTTTGAAATACTACTTTAAAAACACTGTCAAAAGGAAAAAGGAGACTATCAGTCTTCCAGCTTTCTGAGAGGAGGTAAAACACCTCAAAAATTGCTTTTAGAGGGGGAAAAAAAAAAAACTCGGAAGGGTCCCAGAATGCTTCCAAATCTGGGTTCAGGGGTGAAATTGAGGCTAATACCTCTACTAACCACCTTCTGCATTTAATCTCAAGGTAGAAAATATTTCCCCGGGGCGCCTGTGTGGCTCAGTCATTAAGCGTCTACCTTCAGCTCAGGTCATGATCCCGGGGTCCTGGGATTGAGCCCTACATCGGGCTCCCTGCTCAGCGGGAAGCCTGCTTCTCCCTCTCCCATTCCCCCTGCTTGTGTTCCGTCTCTGGCTGCCTCTCTCTGTCAAACAAATAAATAAAACCTTAACCCCCCCACCAAAATTTCCTCTCTGTTCTCTTCCCAGGAATGGGAATTCTATATTACGTCCTCTGGGGTTAGGACAGCAAGGAGTCCAGAGGTCTTGCACAGAAACCACGTGCTTAGTCTGCAGCAATGTGTAACCACCAACCCCCTTCTAGGTGGGATTCTTTTTTTTTTTTTTTTAAGATTTTATTTATTTATTTGAAAGAGAGGCAGTGAGAGAGAGCATGAGCAAGGAGAAGGTCAGAGGGAGAAGCAGACTCCCTGTGGAGCTGGGAGCCCGATGCGGGACTCGATCCCGGGACTCGAGGATCATGACCTGAGCCGAAAGCAGTTGTCCAACCAACTGAGCCACCCAGGCGTCCCCTAGGTGGGATTCTTAAGAAGAATCCCCAACCCAGCCCTGAGCCGACATCACCTTGATTCAGCACTTTTAATGTTAGTTGTTCATTATGTGCTCATCAGTGAGCCAGAAATTTACCGCAAAAGGGGAGGGCCACTGCTGGGCTGCAGAGGAAGCAAGACACCAGCAGGGCTGGGCATGGGGCAGGGGTGGGGGATTGTTAACCTACACACCACACCCACCACCACCACCACCGGAGAAGCCTTTGAAAGTGAACTTGCAAAAAGCTTCATGTATTTGCCTAACTGAAAAAAGACAACATGCTTTTTCTCTCATCTACGTAATTTTAAATTGTATGATCTGCTAGAAAAAAAATTGATTCAGATAGCAGAGATCTTTCAGCAATTTTTCATTCCTGATATGTTAAACTATTAAGTAATTTTATGCAAACAGGTATTCAATTAGTATGACTTCCTCTCCTTGGCTGCTCGTTCACTTTTCATCTCATTTTTAACTAAATTTGTTCTAAGCGGATCTAAGTTTTCATTCAATAAGCAGTTTCAAAACACAGTGACTGAAGAAATCATTCCTTCCTGCATAAAACCTACCAAATACCCCTGGGGGTCTTTGGGCATGATGGATAAGGCACAGAGAAAGGAGACAGAGAAAAATTCTGGAGCTGGTCAGTAAAAAAATGAATGTCCTCTGAGACCGGCTGGGGCTAAAAATGAAGTCCAAGCACATGGCAGGGAAGAAATCGGGCAGTGTTCCATGCCTGTGTGTGGCCTGCCTCCCGGCCACCCTGCCTGCCAGGTACCCCCCCAGCTGGCCACCAGGGGAGCCCTTCCTCGCCTCCCATCACTCAGGAAGAACCAAGTCAGGGTCAACATGTCAGCTTCCCTGCCACTGTGACAGCTTCTCATAGAAAAACAAAAGAATGAATGCACTGAAAATTCTCAAATTGTGACAGTGCATCACTTCACCTTGAAACCAGGTTTGAGGACTCCACAGTCCATCAATCTCATCAATGCTGGAGGTTCCCACAGCCTAAGTCGATGAAAACAAAATGTGTTTTCACTTTTCAATAAACTTCCAGGCCTAGTGACAAGACAGACCCTGCTGTTTGTGAACTGTTTTTATTCTAAGATTTTTAAATTTAATTTTATTTTTTTAAATTTATTTAATTTATTATTTATTTATTTATTATATTTATTTTATTTATATTATTTTATTTTATTTTAAGATTTTTATTCTAAAAATGCTACAGACGTAAAAAACAGACGAACACAAACAGAGTCTCTGGGGGGCAGCTTTTGTAAAATGCTTTGCTTCTAGCTTCCTTTAGTGTCTGCTTTTTGAAAACTGTAACCAAGTTGAAAACGTGATGTAAATCATGAATGCTGCTCTGTGTAAAAAGTCTTCTCTGTCCTAGAGGCAAGTTAAATCTTCACCAGTCCTGCTGAAGAGCATCAGTAGGCATGTCACAGAGACAAATGTCGGATTACCAGCACGGGGTTCGGCTGCACTTCTTCCCTCTCCCGCCGCACAGGCCCCCCTGGGGCCACAGCAGCCCCTGTGGCCCCCGCTGGCTGTGCTTCCTTGGGAGAAGCTGCTCTCGGCTCCCCGCTGCTGGCTGGGGCTGGCTGCCGCAGCTTACTGAGCAAAGACACGGTCTGCTTTTTCACACATATCACCTTCCCCCTCCCAACTTGGAGGTTCAAATGCGTAAGATAAAGAGAAGTTAATGTATCCACACTGAGGAGAAAGAGGGAGAAACGACAACTGTGCTGCAACTAGGCCAAGGGCTATGACAGGTGCATGGAAAGGAAGGTCCAGAAAGGGCAAGGGAAACCACTAACTGCCTGGGGAAGGGAAGGGAAGCAGTTAAGTCCAAGTTTCAGGGGGGTCTGAGTGCCACAGGTTTGTGGACACTGTCCTGAGTACGAGGGGCTGGAGGAAAAGTGAAAGCAAGGCCACAAGGACGTTGAGAGGTTTCAGGCTGGTGCCCGATGTACAGAGTCACTGATGGCTCGAAAGCAAGGCTATGACCTGGTCAAATGTGTCTTTCTGGTGGCGGTGCTGTGGAGGCTGGGGAAGGAGCTGCCAGCGGAGGGAGGCCAGGTGGTGGTCACGGCTTGAACTGAGCAGAGTGAAGAACTTACAGCCCCCGCTACCTCTGGAACTAGGAATTGCTGTGGACAAACGGAGCATGTGGACGTCTCCTCAGAATGACCACGTAGCTTCAGTTTCTCCACAGATGCGGTAAAGTCATTTTTCGTTATGGCATTATTAAGGGAAGGCGAAGAAAGGAGCGGAGTTGGTTTTCTCCTCCGACGGCCAAGCCTACCACCATCCTGGGTGCAAATGAAGTACAAGGTCTTGGGGCCTCCAGTTTGCCACATGGGCTCATAGAGTTTCAGAGTAAGAGCGAAGGATGCCCTTCCCGGAGCCAAGCTTTCAAGTTACGAATGGCCTGGCTGAAGACTGACTGCCCAAGAACCTAGAACGGGCAGTGAAGTCCTCTCCTCCTGAACACATCTATTGGTTCCTGATCTCTGATGCCCCTCCTGTTTCTCCAGCGGCCTTACTCTTTCTAGATTCTTCTTCCCAGCCTGTGCCTATAAGCCTTCATGTGTTTAATTCCAAATTACCTAGAAGGACTCCTTAATTCCAATTTATAAAGAGTTTGAAGTAGAGAATATTTTTTCCCCTTAGAAATAAGATGCAGTAAAGTTGATATGCTTACTGAATTTGTAAGCCCTTTTTTTTTCTCAAAAGCTACAGGAGTGGGGCACCTGGGTGGCTCAGTGGGTTAAGCCCCTGTCTTTAGCTCAGGTCATGATCCCAGGGTACTGGGATCAAGCCCCACATCGGGCTCTCTGCTCAGCAGGGAGCCTGCTTCCCCTTCTCTCTCTGCCTGCCTCTCGGCCTACTTGTGATCTCTGTCAAAAAAACAAAATCAAAAAAAAAAAAAGAAAGCTACAGGAGTTTCTTGAATTGTAATTTTATGTGATTTCTACTAAGAATAACACACACAAAAGCATAATTAGTATCTCCCTATTTCTCATATAGTTTAAATATCGTTATCAGATAACATATATTCATTTCATATATTTCAAACAACGTTTCATATAACATTATCTCTTACAATGAGGTAAGTACATTAACAAGAGCAGACCTATGACATTAGCATTAATATTATTATGGCCAGGTTGGCCTTGCTACCTTTACATTTAATATTACGTAAAATTCACTTCTCTGGGAATCTGAGAGTAGTCCCACAGTCTGATAAGATCAGAAGCCAACCATGACGTTGGCCACATGACAGACTAATACACAGAAAGGAAACCCAGCTCCGACCACAACGTTCAAGTCATTTACTGACGCTAAAATGGCCATGCTCTGTTCTCTCTCCCAAGTTAAAGGCAGCACCTTCAGCTCGACATTTCCCGGCTCACTGGCTACTCCATGCCTCATCGGCCAGCCCAGCTCTCACGGGTCCACTGCTGCAGACACACAGGCTTCCACCTCACCTGGCAGAGGCATGGCCATCCCCGTGGGGCTAGAGGCTAGGAAGACCAGCCAGAAGCCTAGCGCACCCCTCCCCACAACCCCGTCCTCGCTGGCTCGCGCAGTGCAGATGGGCTACAACTCATCATTGGCCACCTCTGGTCCACTTTCTCACACCACAACCAGTCCACACTCTTCCCCAGGAGTTCACAGAGCCTCTCAGACCCTTACCTCCTTGACATGGCTATGAAAGGACACGGACATGTCCAGCAGGATCTTGCGCTGCTCCACGCGCCGAACAAAATCCTGTATCCGGTCTTCAAGCTGATGGGCAGCCTGATAAATCTCTTCTGGGTCACATTCCCCCGTCTGAGCCAGCTGTTCTGCTGCTTCTAGTAATTTATCCGCGTTGGTGTATGTGTTCTGCACAAGGGAAAATCCAGAGAAACAGAGGGTGAATTTAAAAAAAAAAAAAAAAATCCAGCTGGGCCTCCTACCAGACTGCAACTGAGTCAATTTGGGACATTCCTGATCATTTCTGTAAATCCAACAGAAAAAAAAAATGATGGAAAGAGAGGACTTTAGGAGTTCAATATACCTCTGTCAGCAGCTTTTCCCATTACTGTTCTAGAAAGTTAAACACCAAACTTTCTGGCAAAGCCCTTCTTTCTCCAGCACTGGTGGGGTGTCTGCAGCAGCTTCTGGCTGCCCCCTGACTCACAGAGGGCCTTCCACTTCTTGTTGCCGCACACCCAAGACAGCCCCGAGCACGAATGCCCACTTCACTTTCCCTTCCAGTCTTGTGACGGAATGCAGGGTTCCAGTTTTGTTTTTCAGTATGATGTACGATTTTAAAATTCCCCAAATGCAAGTGGAAAGATTAGGTTGCAAATACAAGTTGCCGTCTTCTTAACATGTTTCTACTTATCAGTAATCTGTGCTTATCTTTTTTCTACTTAAGGGGACATATGTTTTTGAGAAAAAGGAAATAACCATAATAGCTTATACATAACAGTCAGAGTTTTAAAGAACTGAAAATTATGTGTAAACAGGCATCAAAAACACTTTGACAATTATTCCATTTTAATTCATGATAAATGAAAGGCTGCAAATGGGTTCCATAGATACAGAGGTGTGTTAGAGGCCTGACTTTGTTCGTGGAGCTGCTGGAGAGGGGCTGGCCGGCAAGGGCCGGGGGCAGCCCAGACAGGCGGGAGGGCTTCAGCGCAGTGCGAGACGGGAGGAAGGTCTTCCAGGAAGGCCCCCAGAGCAGGCTGCCGATCCCCCGAGAAACAGGTGGAATCCCTCATCCTTCTCCAACATGAGAGTCCCACAGCTGAGCAGGGTGGGCGTCTCATCAGTGGCCCAGAGTGTGGGGCGGTGTCCCTGGCAGAGAGCCTGAGCCTGGAGAAGGCCGAGGGCGCCCCTGCACAGGCAGCCTCCCCCTGGGGAGACTGATCACATCCAGGGACATTCATCTCCTCAGCCGACAGGTTAAGGATAATGAGAGGCAGAGTCCTCACCTCAGAGAAGGGCCTGACAAATACAGACAAGGGGAAAAGCTGAGTTGACCTGTGTGACTGGGCTAGAATTAGAGGTATGAGTGTGAATACATGGTTTTCACAGATGTGTGAACGGGCTCCTCTCTCCTCTGTCCCCTGAGAAGGCCCGGTAGCAGCAATGACCCAAGAGCTGTCAGCGTGCTTAGCACCCGGCTTCCCAGCCGGGAGTCACCGTTCTCCTCCACAAGGAACCAGGGCTCCTGGAGACACGGCTGACTCGGGGCGGGGGTGGGCGGTGGAGTACAAGATGAGGCTGTGGCGACTTACTGTATCCACGAGTAAGGAAATGCTTAAGAACAGTGTGGGTGGGTCAGGACACAGATGGCAGCTTCGGCTCCCCCTGGCCCAATCAGGGATGGTTTGAGAGTAAACAGTGATAGCAACAGAGGATAATCCACCAAAAACAAGAGGAAACCACGAGTCCATGCAGACATAAACAAATAAATAAAATTGGCTGAGGAACAGGATATTTATAGAATTTCAGAGTAGCTCCCCGCTAAGTGTTTACTAATTACAAAGGGCAGCGGAGACTCATCTCATGATGGAGAACGTGGCTGACCCCACTTTAACCGAGAAATCCGCCTGAACAGCATACGTAGCAGGACAAGTTGAAGTCGGGTGCCAACGGGTGGGAAGACACAGGGACTTGGCGGCCCTGATGCGCCGGCTGAAGACGGATGTAGAGGCAGAACGTACTCACGACCGAACGTCAGACAGACGCAGAGTGAGAAGCAGGCCCAAAATAATGGGCTTGAGATCTTCCGAAGTGTCAGGTCACCAAAGCTCAGAACAACCAGGCGCGTGCTACAAACTCGGGGACAGCTGAGGTGAGATGGCTCAAGGCCACAGCTGATTCTGCACTGGGTCCTTTGGCCATAAAGGACATCACGGGGTCCGGGGACCAGCACATAAGCCTGCAGCAGGGCTCACTTCCTGATTTTGACAGTGGCATTGGGGGGGTACAGCCAAATGTCCCTTCCTGCTAGGAAATACATGCTAAAGTCAATGGCTTAACGGAGGGTTAAGTTCTTTGTGCTGTACTTCCAACTTTCCTGCAAGTTAAAAAAAAATTTTTTTAAACAAGTATAAATACAGCTTGATAGGTAGGAGATGGTCTCAGGAAGGATGGTCGTGATGCACTGAACAGAGCAGCAGGAGCCCCAGGCGTCAGCATCAGGGCAGAAGCCGTCCCTCCCGGGGCACGCTGGAAGTGGGGGTGCACTGTCTACAGAGAATTTGGAAGTGTCCATAAAAACCAACGAAAAGTCAGTCTATGCTTTTACCATCAGCACAGGCTGCACGCCCACCTCTCCCTGCGCCAGAGCCACAAGCACTTACCGGGCCTTGGGTCTACACCTCAGCACAGCCCCTTCCTTCTATAGATCAGGACACTGAGGCCTGCAGGGCAGTCACTGGGCTGGGCCAGAGGCTGAGTGTGGATCCTGTGCCCCCGCCCCCCGCAATGTTCAGCCCACGGAGTTTCAGGCAGCATTGTCCACGCACTGCCAAGAGGCGAAGCTCATCGCCGTCTCTCCCTGCCCATCTGAAAACCCGTTTTCAGGAGACTTTTCTTTTTGGTGTTCTGCATTATTAACTGAGGATCTTTGAACTCTTTCTGGAAATGAGTGAAGAGATGTCAAAGGACCCAATCCTTTAAAATACACCACTTATGGCCAAAGCTGGAAAGTGCATCCGTGTACGTCTCACATGGTCTCTGGAAACAACTACCCAAAGTCCTTTGAAAGCGCAGATTCCGATCTGACTGCAGAACTCAACTCTGCCACGGAGGGGCTGTCCGTGCACTCTGACAGGACCTCCTCGGAAGCTAAGTCAGAGCGACCCTGAGCGGAGCAGAGATGGTGAAAGGGCCACTTCAGAAGAGCTTTGTAATGACAGCAGCACGTTTCATAAACTCCGCTCTCCATCCTGCGCAACTCCAGACCTCCCCATCCCCCAGGCATGTCTGGCACCCTGCCAAGGAGGACGGGGGCAACGAGAAGCCCTCCACACACAGATGTCAAACTGCTCGGAGATTCTGGGTACCCGGGAGGAAAGAGTCTCACAGCAGATGCCCGAGAGTCAATACCAGTCACGTCACTGACCTGGTGCCCCTGAGCTGCAGGCAGGAACGGACGAGCGAGGCGGGAGCTAATCTATGAATGAGAATCCGAACGGTGTCCTGATGAGCAAAAGGATGCGGGTGCTATTATCAACAATAAAAAGTAATGACAGAAACTCTCGGAGTGGAGAGGAGCCTCAGGAGACACAACAGCTAAATGCAACGTGGCATCCTGGATGGGGTCCTGGAGTGGGGGAAACTCAGGAAATCTGCACAAAGGAGAGGCTCCAGGAAACCCATCCATGTCAGTTACCCTGACAAACGTCCCAGACTAAGAGCAATCATAGGGAGGCTGGGGCCAGGTACGGGAACGCTTTGCATCATTGCCACAATTTTTCTACAGACCTGAAACTGGTCCAAAAAAGTAGTTTCAAAGTATATGTGTTTATACAGCTGGGCCTTGAACAATACATTTGAACCGCATGGTCCATATACATGTGGATTTTTCTTATGAATACAGTATTGCAAGTATACTTCATGATATTACTAACTTTTTTCCTCTGGCCCACTTTATCATAAGAATACAACATACAACACGCATAACATATAAAATACGACAATTGGCTGCTTATGTGATCACTAAAGCTTCTGGTCAACAGCAGGCTACTAAATATGTTTTGGGGGGTCAAAAATTATACCTGGACTTTTGAGGCACCGGCTGGCAAACTGGTAGAGCGTGTAACCCTTGATCTTGGGGTTGCAGGTTTGGGCCCCATGTTGGGTGTAGAAATCAATTAGAAATAAAATCTTTGGGGCACCTGGGTGGCTCAGTGGGTTAAAGCCTCTGCCTTCGGCTCAGGTCATGATCCCAGGGTCCTGGGATCAAGCCCCACATTGGGCTCTCTGCTCAGCAGGGAGCCTGCTTCCTCCTCTCTCGGACTGCCTCTCTGCCTCTTTGTAATCTCTATCACATAAATAAATAAAATCTTAAAAAAAAAACAAAAAAAATAAAATCTTTAAAAAAAGTTATACGTGGACTTTCAACTGCAGTGGGGGGGTGTCAGTGTCCCCAATCCCCACGTTGTTCGGGGGTCAGCTACATGTACGTGCATGTACGCACAACATATACATATACACACATATACACAACATACACACACATACACACAGCAGATTTTTCAAAAATACTTTAATCTTTGGAATAATCCTTGGGTACTTTCCACAATTATATCAGACCTTCCCCGAGAGGCCGGCCCCTGGTACACAGAGAAAGCTCTCCTTGTGAAGCTCAGTTAATAGCACTGAGGGCTCCAGCCACCGAGATTCTGCGGTACACTGCTGACAAGGGTCTGTGACCATCGGAGGCTGTTCCAGGTGACCTTTCTGGGGACGACAGCTTTATGGAGATCCAGGCTTCCCCCCTTGGAGCCTCACCCAGGAAACATGCTCTGCACCTCTGGGCAGAGACATGAAAGAAGCTACCAGAGTATCATGCTTTGTTCAGCGCGCGCACATTTTTTTTAAGAGCTAAATCCTATTTTCTTATTGTCACCACGACCATGAAGTCGCTTACCTCTTGTGTTTGATAAGGGGATCGGCAGGGGATACTGCCTCCCAACACTGAACACTTTGTTTCTGAAAGCTTTTCTAACTCTTTGTCAGCAGGGAAGGATATTTGAGACATATGTGAGTTCATTTCAAACGAACAAGTGCATTTTTTAAATTTTCAGAGACACTACACAATATTTACTTCATCCCATTTCTCATTTCACACGTGGAGAAAATGAGCCCACACAACGGAT